CATTAACAGGGAACTGGATCGGAAGTTGAACAGCCAGGATATGAACTGGTTCACATATGAGATGCCAGCATGGCAGGCAGTGACTTAACCCACTGCACCACAATGCCAGTCCTGACAAATTTTGTTTGAGGTTAATACTTTTGTGATTCATGGTGCCTTCGCAGAGCAGAAGGGAAAACCAAAGAAGTGGTTAGACTCAGGAGACTATATGTCATTTTAACAAAGGTGACAAATTGTGGAGAAGTGATTACATGAAGGAAAGGCAGTTTGGGGTCCTAGGAGTAGGCAAATTGTGGAAAATTAAATATAGGAGGATATTAATGATGGATTATTTAGTAAGTGTTATTTAATCAAGTTTGTTTCTGTAGACTCATATCAGTGCTGTCTCCATCACTGGGGTAATGGTTATTTCCTTTTATTGATACAGAAGAAGGGGGGACCCCTTCACAAGGGGAATTTGTGTCCTGCTTTCAGGCAGGTAAATGGAGAGCAGACAGCTCTTCCCATGTCTGATTTTTCTCAACTGCCTTCAGCTCAAAATAATCCTTCTGCCAAAGTGCTGTGTTTGGGATGAGAGTCCAATCCTTTTCAACAAATCCCCATACTGTATGTGCAGCCTGGACCTCTGCCCTGCACTCTACTTCTCATATATCTGGCAGGCATTGCACATCACCACGTAGGTGTCCATTAGGCCTCTCAACATTAACAGGCCAAAATCCACTCCCTGTTCTTCCCATACTGAACCTCTTCCATTCTTTGTTTGTAAAGATTTGTTTGTTTGTTTGTTTTGAAGGGTGTTGTGGAGAAAGAGAGTGCTTCCTTCCATCTGCTTGTTTACTCCCTAAATGCCTGCAATAGTCAGATTTGCTGCAGGCCAAAGCCAGGAGCCAGGAGCCAGGAACTCTATCCAGGTCTCCAATGTGGGTGGCAGGAACCCAAGAAATTGAGCCATCATCCCCTGCCTTCCTAGGCACGTTAGCAGGGAGCTGGATTGGAAGGTGGAGGTGCCAGGACTCTAACAGTGCTTCCATATAGGATGCAGGCATCCCAAAAGGACTTTAACCCACTGTGCCACAAGGCCCAGCCCAAATCCTCTTCATTCTTATCTTTCCCATTTTAGAATGTTGTAATTCCACTCTCCTGGTTAGTCAAGCCAAAAATCTTGGAGTCACCCTTGATTCCTCCCTTTTCCTCATGTTCAGAATCCCATTGACTCCATCTACAAAATACATTCAGAATCCACACATCTCCTGTTGCCTCCATAGCTACTACCTGGGTCTAAGCTACCCTCAAGGCTCCTGGGTTTGCTGCAGTAACCTAGTAACGGAACCTCCCTCTTCTTTCCTGGCATCTCCTCCCAGTCTATTCCCAACACCGCAATCAGGAGGAGCCTTTCAAACCAGAAACCATATCATGTCACGCCTTCGTCCCTAATCCAGCTTCACGTACCCTCTGATGGCCTCATTTTCCTCGGAGTGAAAGCAGAGGTCCTTACAAGGGCTAATATACCCTGTGCAGTCTAGTCCTAGTCCCTTTATGACCTAATCCGCTACTATTTTCTCTGCTTTGAATCTGCTTCAATCACTGACACCCTTATCATTCCCCACAGTCAGACTCTTCCGCCTCTGGACTTTTCTGCATGCTGTTCATTCCAGTTGAAGTACAGCTCCCTCAGATACACAACCGGGCTTTCTCTCCTTTTCACAGCTTTTTTGGTCAAAGACAAACCCCTCATAGAAGACTGCTGTGACCGTGAAGGTGCAATTAGACTCTGCCTTCCATTGCAAACAGTCCTTTTACCCTGCTTTGTTTCTCCTAAGGCTTTGACTATGCCATATAACTTGCTTCCTGTCTATTGCCTGTTCTCTTTAAAATATAAGTTACACAATGGCAAGAATATTCACCTCTTGATCATTAACAGATCCCTAGTGCCTAAAGAAAGTAGTGGCACAAATTAAGCCCCAAAATAACATTTGTTTCATGAATGAATAAATGTAACTCTCCTCTTTTTCTCAAAAACAGCCAGTGACGTCTCTGATAACTAATAGTTTTGTTTTGGCAAAATAAAGGCAGAGGGGCTGTACTCATCACTTGGAAAAAAATAATAGTCAAATGATAGAAATGAGATGGTAAATTCAAAGGGAAACTTGGGCAAGAAGTTGCTAGGAGAAATTCTTACTATCTCCACCAAAGATATAGACTGGGAGCTGGAAAGAGGGTTTGAGATATTTTATAGAAATGTTAAATGGAAGGGAGTGTTGAAAGGGTAGGTTTGGGGAAAAAAATAGGAGGCTATCGCAATAGTAGTTCAAGTAGGTAATGATAATGAGCTCCTCAAGGCAATGGCAGTGGCAATGATGAGGAAAGAATTCCAAACATCTCAGATGTATAACCAGCTGGATTGGTGACTGGCAGGAAGGCATAGTTAGGATACCTCCAAGGTTTCTAGAATGAGCAATGATAATGATGCAGCTATCACAGTTTTAAAATACAGTAAATAGGGTAGATTTTGCTAGAGAAATGGCAATTTCTACTTGGACAGTCAATGGAGATATCAAGAAGAAAGTTGGAAGTAAACATTCCTGCAGTATTTTGGAATTAAACTGTAAGCAGGAATTAGAGTCTCCAGAATGCACAAAAAGAAATGAAGAAGCTGAGTACAGAAGCATGGTGGCCAGGAGCCATATGAACTGAGTGGATGGAGAGAAATTGGAGAAATCAGAAGGAAGAGGCTGATAAAGGTTGGGTATCCCTTATCCAAAATGCTTGGGACTAGATGTGTTTTTGAATTTTGGGATGTTTTCATTTGCACAATGAGATAACCTGGGGATAAGATCCAGTCTGAACATAAAATTTGTTTCAACTTCATATACACCTTATACACATATCCTGAAGGTACTTTTTATGATATCTTTAACATGTCTGCATTTTAACTGGGATTCATTACATGAGGTCAAATGTGGGATTTTTTTACTTGTGAGTCCACACTAGTGCTGAAAAAGTTCTATATTTGGAGCATTTTGGATTAGGGAAGCTCAACCTGAAATTACAATAGTCCAGTGTACCTGCCCTGCAAAGCACAAGGCTGGGGAGGTAGGGAGGGCAGCAAGACAAGGGGCTAAGGCCCTTCAGAAGTTTCTTTAACCCTCAACAACTGCTTAGAATTGATCTGGTTAAAACGAATAAGCATGATTATAAAAGCAGTGGACACTGCAGGGTATTTCATAAACAGAGATGGATATAGATATTGGAAGTCTCCTGCCAGGCAAAGACCAGGTCCTGCTCCACACCTCCCCCATAGATGAGTTCCCAGTGTTCGCACTACTCAATTACCTACATTTTACCTTCACAAATTTTGCCTACCCAGGTGGTATCTGGCTTCCCTATTACTTCATTCTTAATTTAACTTGACTCTTTTATCACCATGACCGAAATATGGGCACCACTTCTCCGAAGTAGAAGACTGCTGCATGCTGAAGCCTTTGATTAGAGGTTCATTCTCTGCTTGAAAAAGAAGATAAGTGGAGTTAAAAAAAAAAAAAAAAGACATGCTGTATCATAAATGCCAAGGCAAAAGAGAAAGTTAAGTAGTGAATGATCAATATTATCAAATGCTAGGATGCTAGCTGAAAAGCAGGTATTGGGCTTGACAAAAGAATTATGTCAGTGGTGGAAATAGAAACCAACATGTTTTGGTCTAAGAAGTGAATGGCTGTGGCTCTGCAGAAGATGGTAGTAGGGCAGTAGCCTGAGAGAAACAGCGCCATTGTCCATTAAGGATTTTCCTTTCCCAGCATAGTCTTAACCTAACCTTTTTCATGTGATAAGTGCTCAATGTCTGTTACATACAATGTTAATGTTTATAGACCAGCTGTCCTATGAAAATTGTTCAGTGTTCTCCAAATAAAAATAGCATAAAACAAATTCATCATTATTTTAGATAGGGAGGGACTGAAGAAAAATATTTAATATTCTATATTCTGTTTTGGATTACTTGGTAAGAATCATTTCTTCTTTCTCACCCACTCTCTGACTACACACATAACCAAATTATAATCATAGAGAGGAATGTAACTGAATCCCATTAGACCAGAATCGCATAGTCCAAAAAAGAACCTGAGCTAGTTTACTTTATTAAAAGATTTGGCATCAAGATGCTTCAATGTGTCTTAATTACACATTTAGCTGCTATTCGGTTAGATACATAATATGTGAAATTTGAAAAAAATTTAAGTGGTATAATGTGTTTACAACTTAATATTAAGTGAAAAATATAAGGCTACTATATTGCATAGTTCTCAATTTAAGGAACAGGAAAATATATAAATATAAACATACACACAAAGTAGGAATAAATATCCGAATACAATAAAATGTAAATCTCTGGCCTCTAGATTTAGGATTTTCTTCTGTATTTCCCTAAAGTTTTACAAATTTTTTACAGAACCTCCATAAAGTCGTGGGAATTTCTAAGCACTAAGGACCCTTTCTTGGGTCTAGATGGCCCTAAAATGACAATAGTTACAATACTAGTAATTCCCCAGGCTTCTTTATCCCCAGCGTCTTAGAATCCGTCCTATTCATCTTGCTCTACTTCCTTAGGTTCCCTCTGACTCCTCAATTCTGTAGGTGAATTTGGAGAAGCAAAGTGGGAAATGGAATGGAGAATCCAAGAATCTGTTTGAAATGAGTGGCTCTGGGCCCCGCCATCTAGCAACCGTGGAGCCCCTAGATTTGTCCATCTATCGCTCTGTCCCTCAGCTGTCTTGGTTTTCCTGGAAAATGGGATTTCCTGACACTTCAAAGGAGCGGGCCGGGGCTTGCAGGGACCACGGCAGGGCTGGCATGCCCCAGACCAGACCTCTGCAGGGCTCAGTCAACACCCCGGGAAAGGCCCCACCCCAAAGCACCGACTCGGACTCCGAGCAGGTGGGGCCCAGGAATCTGTATTTCAGCAGCCTCCCAGGTGATGCATAAGCTCAGTTTTGAGAACCAAGGACTCTTCCCAGCCTGCCACGGCCGCTGATTCACTTCGCGTCCCCAGTCCCAGCGGTTCTGCAGCTCCCGCAACAGCAGCAGCCGCCGAGGGGAGAGGGAAGAAAAGGCGCCGCCGACCCCTGCCCGCAGGGCAGCCGGTCTTCCCCGGCCCGGCGCCGGCCCGCGGGTTACATAACGGGCCGCGAGGCGCGCTCTCGCGAGGTTTCCACCGCCCCCCTCCTCGCTCCACGTCAGAGGGAACCGGGCGGAGCGGCCAACATGGCGGAACGCAGGCGACACAAGAAGCGGATCCAGGTAGCAAAGCCGAGCCTTGGGGTAGGGGGCTTCAACGCTCTCGAAAGTCGAAGGAGCGGGGAAAGCCCCCTGAAAGGGCGAGCGGAAGCGAGGGCGCGGCGGGGCGGGATTGCGCCGGGAGGCCGCCGGCTGCAGGCTGCGTCGTTGTGAGGGGCCTGAAGGGGGAGGGGGCGGCGTTGGCGACCGCGGAGACGGAGACGGAGACGGAGACCGAGGTGGTGGTGGAGCGGCTGGGGAAGGAAGGAGGCGCCGCGCTCGGAATCTGCTCGCCGAGGCGCGGCTGCCGGCGGAGTTGCTGTGGCGGCGCGGGCCGGGGCCTGCACTGGGAGGTCGGCTTCCTCCCGAGCGCAGACACGGATCCTCCCCGGGGCTCCGCGCCTCCCTTCTCCCCTGTCTCCCCTTAGCTAGCCCGAAATGAAGGCCAGGATAGTAGGGGTAGAAGGTGGCGGAGGACTGACCTAAAGCGGCCAGTTCTTTGTGCGCAGGAGTCTTAGGAGGAGCGATGATCGGGACTCGGTCCGCTGCCCCGGGGGCCTGGAGGTGATCTCCTGATCCAGATGTTCCGATGCGGTTGCCCTCCTTTCTCCTCGACGTTATTAACCTAATCGTCCACTTGAAGCTAGCTGGCTTTCCTCCCGGCGACACAGTGTAAACAAACACAACCCCTTTGGTGCTGCAACGTAGCTGGTGGCGCCCGGAAGCGTTTCCTAGGCCAGTGTGTCATCCTCGAAACCTACATAACCTCCCTCCCGCATTCCACCTGCGTGCCGTTTGTGTGTTTCTCCCCGGCAGTTCCCCCTCCCCACGTCCCCGCCCGGTTCTTGTTTTTTAGCCAAGAGGATTAAGTTTGTCAAACATCTTAGACTCAGGCCGTTTGTTTATTAGTCGTCTCGTCAGCTCCTGTGCCGGGAAACCTTCCTACATCATAAATTGATAGCTTGTAGTGAATTTCTTAACATGTTCATCACAAATTGTTACTGTTGTCTTCGTGTTCCTTACTATTTCATTGTTCATAATGACTTTTCTGTCTTCTGTTTTATCCGTCTTTTTTTTTTTTAAGGTTTATCCGCTTATTGGCCTGCCTACAGGTGTTTTGAGCTATGCAAATTAAAATTCCCCTGAAACCTTTTAAGTGCTATGAGAAAGATAATCAATGATCAGGAAATTTGGAGTTTGGCAGAATTAAGAAAGTATTTGTGAAGGGGGAACAGAAGGGAATTAGAAAGAAGCAAGTTTCAAATTTCAGACCATTGATAAAACCAGTGTTTAAGGTCAGTAGAAGTGTCTGATTATACTGTCACTACTCCTTCAAGATATACCTGGTCTGACATGGATAGAAAGGATTTTATTACAATGTATGCTGAAATTTTTGCCTATTTGTACTTACTCCTTAGTTTTAATTTGGCAGTGCAATCTGATGACTTGTTGTACACACTTTGACAATTTCAACTGCCCTTTAGTGTTCTGAATGTTCATGTTTGTGAGTAGCTGCTCCTACATCAGTTGTGCCCTTATATTGAACTGAAAGGTAGAGCAGACGACTGTCGGGAGAGCTAAAACTGAAGGCAGGCTGTGCCGTTTTGTACCTCGGATCCACCAGTTATTAGCTGAGAAACTTTGAGCAAGTTACTTTTCACCTTGATATCTGCATCTCTAAGAAGGGATATTGACCTCAAAACATACATAATTCCATATTTCTTGGGACTGTAGAGTTGCTCTGAATTATTAAAAGTGCTCATTACATTACCTCCCTTTTCTTGGCTTCCGATCCCTAGGATGAAGGATTTAGTTTGGATTTTTTTTTTTTTAAGTTGTATTTATTTATTTACAAGGCAGAGAGCTCTCATCCACTGGTTCATTCCCCAAATGCCTTCAACAGCTGGGGCTGGGGCTGGGGCAGGGGCAGTTCGAGCCAGTAACTCATCCAGGTCTCACCTAGGTGGTGAGGACCCAAGTACCTGAGCTGTCACTGGTGACTCCCAGGATCTGCATTTGAGCTGGGAATTGACCTCCAGCACTCCAGTGTGGGAAGCTGGCCTTCATAACTGCTGGGCTAACCCTTATTTTGGCTTTTGTTAAGCATTCTTTGATATGCTAAAGAAAGATTAGCAGGAATCTATTAAGTAAATAAACCCTTAGGTTATGAGTTATATTTTGTTTATTTAAGGATCTAATTGTTAAAAATCAGCTTAGCATACTACAGAATGAAAATGAATGATTTTCATTTTCCCCATCCTTAAAGTTTTCTACATGACTGAGTAGAATGTTTGTGGGAGGTCTTGGAGATACTGTTTTTATTCAATCTCTAAAAAGTATACATTATCCTAGGAAATTCCCTAGTTTTTTCTCCTAGAGAATCAGAAACAATAATATTGATGTTACTTGAGATAGAAAGATCAAGTGTAATGACAAAATTAAGAGTTTAAGTTACAGAAAGCTTCTATTGTAGGACTTTTCAGGCAAATATGTGCAATATCAACAGAATTTCCTGTTATTACTCAGTGTGTCATGTTTAGAAAAGGTTTTTATGTTTAATAAATTTTGTGACCCTGAACTGTAATTGTTCGTTGGGGGAAAAGTGTTTGATGCAAACAAATTCAGAGTTTTAAAAAAAGTAGCTAATTTACTTTTTCTAGTGCAACATAATTTCAGATTCTAATGTCTCATCAAAGTTGGAAGTCAGAGAATTGTTTATTGTGTTCATTGATGCTATATTGTAAAATTTTAATGACTGATTCCCAAAAGAGAGTAAGTGATCTTAATTCAATTAATGAAACAGAGTTTTATGTTATTTAATAAAGGCAGTTCTGTAAATATTTAGGGACATATAGCAACTTTATTTAGATTTATGAAGTGCTGCCTAATATAAGTGTTGACTTAGAATCCTGCTGTCATGAAATTCTAGACTTGATAGGTTCTAGTAGGGTTTGTTTGGAATCCTTTTTCACAGATTTGGTCTGATACAAAGGCAGAGTGGAGGGCACAGAGCTTATCTTGCCCAGCACCCTCCATTTTACAGATAAACAGGTCCATGTGACTTCTCCAAGGATCACTCAAGAGAGTAAAGCGGGGCTTTTACTTACCAATTAAATTTTCTTTCTAATCTCACTGTTGACAAAAATAAGTTATTTTGAAATATTTTAATCCTGGATTTTTTTATATTTTATATTATAGCATAAACATACAGTTTATTCCTGCTAAAGAGTATCTAATATCTGCTTATGTGTAAAATACTTAGTTTAGGGACTTTTTTTTTCTTTAAAGATCCATTTTATTCACTTGAATGACAGAGTTACAGAGCGAGGTAGAGACAGAAAGGTCTTCCATCCAGTGGTTCACTCCCCAGATAGCGGCAATGACTGGAGCTGCACAGATCTGAAGCTAGGAGCCAGGAGCCTCCTCTGGGTCTCCCACGGGGATGTAGGGGTCCAAGCATTTGAGGCATCCTCCACTGCTATCCCAGGCCACAGGAGAGAACTGGAACGGAAGAGGAGCAGCCAGGACTAGAACTGGTGCCCATATGGGATGCCGGCGCCTCAGGCCAGGGCTTTAACCCGCTGTGCCACAGCTCTGGCCCCTTGGGACATTTTTTAAGGATTTATTTATTCAAGAAAGAGATGAGATAGAGAGCATTCATCTGCTAGTTCATTCCCAATGGCCTGCAACAACCCTCAGCTAGGGCCACAGCCAGGAACTGGGAACTCAATCCAGGTCTCCCACGTGGCCAGCAAGAGCACAATCATTTGAGCCATTGCTACTGCTTACAAGGGTGTGCATTAGCAGAAAGCTAGAGTCAGGAGCACAGCCTGGTATCCGGTCTAAGCACTCAGATGGAATGTGGACATCTTAACCACCAAGCCAAAAGCCTGTCCCTAGGTTTGGGGCATTTCAATGACTTACCAGCAGTTGCAACTTTTAGTCTTTGGAAGTTATTTTTGCATCTGTCCTCATGGCAATAAAACTGACATATAATGGGCTTAAGTGCTTAATTTCGAGAAAGGGAAGAAAGCAAAGTTTGAGACTGTGTAGCTGTACTATACAGGTATTACTTCTCAGAACCTTCTGAAGAGAAAGAACTCAGGAAGACAGTCCTAAATCTGGGAACTGTCCCCAGAGACTTACCAGAGGGCTCTTGCAGTTACCTAGCAAACCTGTTGCTAATGAGGCAGTATAATATGTAGAAGTGAGTGAAAGTATTATAGAAGAGTACTGCTGTAGTCCAAATACAAACTTACAAAGCTTTGTTGATAATGTACTGTGAAACTTCAAGCAATGATTTAGCTAAGGTCCCTCCAGCTTTTGGATTTTATTCCGTGTGTTTACTATTTGAATTTTCTCAAGTATTTTATACTGCCTGTATAAAGATAAAAATTCATTATTTGTAACCCACAGTTTTCTTTTTTCCCAGTTCCCCACTGGTAGATCAGATAAGTATTTCTATTGGATATAGTTTAAAAGTTCTTCTATAGCAGAAAGTCTAAAATTGAAGCTTGTAGGTTACTTTTTCTTGATCTAATTTCTTTCTCAAAAAGTTTTGAGTATTGGCCAAAATAATGGTTAGAAGTTGTAACTTGTTTTTCATTATAGCTTTTGAGTGTTGATGAATTCTAAAGTAAAAATAGTTTGTTAAATCATTTTATAAGAATGTTCTAACAAAATCTGGAATTTAAATAATTTTGCATTATAAATTGCAGCAGCCAGCAAGTTGGTATTTAGATACAAAGACAGTATAGACTAAATGTATTGGTTCTTAGTTTCCTCATTCTAAAGCAGTTGTGTTCACTGAGATCAAATGTTTTCTCAAATTTGAGGATTATTGGAGTAGTTTCTCTTTTTTTTGTGAGTGCTGATATTCCCCAGAAGACTCCTAATTCTAGTTAGACGTTTTCTAGAAAAGTGAGGAATAATATTCTGTTCACATCAAAAGGAAGCAGAGAGGGGAGGCACTATAGACCAATGTATAAAGCAAAAAGATAGACAGTTTGATGCCCTCTTCAGGCTGCAGCAGTGGAACAGTGAGAATGAAGACTCCATGCAGGATTTCTTAATGACCAACTTCTGATGATTCTCATGGTACTCTTTGCAGCAGTCTGTCTTTCTGGCTCCATAGCCCCTGCAGGTGGCACACATTATTCTCGTTAAAGACAATCTGACATACGGATACTTAAAGTTATCAGTAGACACATACCAGTATTTCTGTGTTTGATTATGCAAGAAATTATCCAAGTTCATGTTTTCTTGGTCTTTTCTGGTTCTGTTCATTGTGCTTTTACAAGGAGGGGATGCATGCCTTAAACTTATGGGTAAGGAAAACAAGGAGGGGATGCAGTTGTGAAAAAGCGTGGTGTACTTGAAGTTAATTGTTAAATAAGATTTTTAAATGTTGTGGATACATAATAGTATCAGTTTCCCTATTGCATAAAATGAAATCAATCTTTCAGTCTTTTAATATATTTTAATATTCCATCAGATTTTGCATGTGATGCCTTTGTCAGCAGTAGGAGATTTAGTACGTTTATGTCTATGTTCAGTAAGTGGTTTCATTGAGTTAGTATGAGCTAAGATATATCATGCCTGAAATGGTAATGTTCTCTAGAATCACCCTCCTCCTACATTTCTTCTATCTGTAAAACTGTCCTTTCCAATTTAGAAATTGATCAATTTAAAAATCTGACATCGTTTACCTAGCCAGTTTCTTTTAGTCTTTATCATTGAGTTCTATCCTACATTTGAAATGTTTCAAATATGCATGTCTTCCCATTACTGGCCCAGTATCACAATTTAATTGACTAGTACAGTAATCTAACTAGTTTCCCTGACTTACACATTTCTTTGCAATTCATCTTGCACGCAGCTACAAAAATAATATATTTTTCTCATTCATGTCTTTCTATTTAGAAACTGCTAGTGGTCTTTCTGCTATTTGCAGTGTAAAGTTGAAATTTCTCAGCTGCCCTTGAACCCTCTTTAGTGTATCATACTTGCAGGTAACCTTCCAGTACTACTTCACTGGTCTCTACTGGAGCCAAGTTTTGTGCTTACTTTTATTCACAATGTTTATGCACTTCATTTAGTCTACCACTCTTTTGGGAAAGTGATAATTGCTGCTTTTAATATTATGGAAAAGTTAGGTATCCTGCCTTAGGAATCTTTAGGTATTATAAGATTATAGGTAAACATTCAGTGTGTGTTTGAATAGTTTGTTTATTCAGACTTCTCCACCGCAGTTATTTTTTTTCTTCTGAGAAAGAGATTTATTACAAGTCTGTCAGGAGATGGGGAAAACCAACAAAACCTATACTCTTCTCACTATTCAGAAATGGACTTGGGAATTCATGGACTTACAGTCGGTGGGACATAACTGAGTGAAACTAGGTAGAACATCAGAGGTGCAGAGTAAAGGGCCCTCCCACAGTTCTTAACTAAGCACATTCCAGCAACAAGTTATCAGTATTAAAACTGTTTTTTGTTTTTTGTTTTGACAGGTAGAGTGGTCAGTGAGAGAGAGAGACAGAGAGAAAGGTCTTCCTTTGCCGTTGGTTCACCCTTCAATGGCCGCCGTGGCCGGTGCACCGCGCTGATCCGATGGCAGGAGCCAGGTGCTTCTCCTGGTCTCCCATGGGGTGCAGGGCCCAAGCACTTGGGCCATCCTCCACTGCACTCCCTGGCCACAGCAGAGAGCTGGCCTGGAAGAGGGGCAACTGGGACAGAATCCGGCGCCCCAACCAGGACTAGAACCTGGTGTGCTGGCGCCGCAAGGTGGAGGATTAGCCTAGTGAGCCACGGCGCCAGCCTAAAATTGGTTTCTATAAACCATTTATAGTGTCATTGTCTTCAACTATTATAGTAGTATTTTTCTACTATGTGAATATATAGATATTATTTATTAATAGAGGATGCTGTTAGTGTATTACACAATTAAACACTATCACTTAACATACATGATTCCAATATGGATTAATATATTTTAATATGACTTTAAAAATTTTAATAAGGAATTTTCATATTTATTATGTCAGGAAATATATTTTATAACTAGGCCTCCAGATCATTATGAGTGAGGTAGATGTTAGTGAACTTGGAATGTTAAATTTTGATTTACAATTTTTTTAAGATTCTAGTTTTCTGTGATTTTTTTTTTTTTTTTTGACAGGCAGTTAGACAATGAGAGAGAGAAACCAAGAGAGAGTTACAGACAGTGAGAGAGAAATAGAGAGAAAGGTCTTCCTTCCGTTGGTTCATTCCCCAATAGCCGTCATGGCTGGCGCTGTGCGCCAATCCGAAGCCAGGAGCCAGGTACTTCCTCCTGGTCTCCCATGCGGGTACAAGGACCCAAGCACTTGGGCCATTCTCCACTACCCTCCCGGGCCACAGCAGAGAGCTGGACTGGAGAAGGAGCAACTGGGACTAGAACTTGGGGTGCCGGTGCCACAGGCGGAGGATTAGCCAAGTGAGCCACGGCTCCAGCCTATGTGATATATTTATATAAAGGTTTTTATTTCATAAATATTTGTTATTTATAGAAATTGTCATCTGGGTTATCTGATCATTAATTTTTATTGTCACACATAATACACAATTGATAATGGCAGTGTACATAACAGAAAATTTGGGGAAAGCAATGGGAAAAGAAAATAGAGAAGGATTAAAGCAGCCTTTCCAATCCTGCTCTGTCAGTACACTTCCATAATCAGTTTCTCAAATGAGATAGTAATATCTCTGTTTTTGCATTTATTATTTTTGTCTCTCCCTTACTGAGGAAGAGAATAAAACTAAATGAGAAAAGATTGTCTACAATCACAAGGGGAAGGAACGGACTGCAAATCATCTCCCTCTCAGTAATTCTTATGCTGCCAGTTGGGAGCTATCATTGGTTAATTTGAGAACTCCCATGGACTGTTGTTATTGTTTAGGGCATATGTCTTTCGCTGTTGTTATTTAACATTTATTTATGGCAGCTGTTTCCACTTACGTTGACATTTAGGCACTTAACTGTTGTCAACATCTTATCTTTTAAATTATTGCTTTGTGGCTTGTGGAAAAAAAAAAAAAGACTATACAAGAGAGAAAGTGAACTGGTACCAAGTAGTTATACTAGTAGAACAATTCAGATGCCTCAGAGTTAAGGCCTAGAAGCAGACAGGCTTCACCTGTATCAACTTATATTTGAAAAATGTGTAGTATTTAAAAATCTCTGTTTTGTCTTTTGTATCCATTACCACATCTGCTCCCAAGAATATTTGAAAGCAAAGCCTATATACTCTACTTGAAATAATTACAGAAAGGATCTGTAAATTACTATCAGAACTAGAATCTCTCAAGTAAATAATTACACAAAATTAATATTCTTATGTTATAGGAAGTTGGTGAGCCATCTAAAGAAGAGAAGGCTGTAGCCAAATATCTTCGATTCAACTGTCCAACAAAGTCCACCAATATGATGGGACACCGGGTTGATTATTTTATTGGTAAGATTATATCAGTGAAACCGTATTAGTTTACTTGTCCTATGAAGTTACGTAAATTTGGGGTATATGCAGTCTTAGAAGTTCTTCCAAGTGTTACTGTTGAAGCTGGTGTTGGAAATGTAGCAATTATTCTTTTCTTTTATGATTGAAAATGCCTATAATAAAAAAAAAGTAAAAGAAGGTGTTTTCTAAATAAGATTTATTTTCAGTGTTTTAAAAATAATACCATTTATTTAGATGGTATATGTACATGGAACTAACGCGTTATCGCTTCTCGGCCTTTTGGCTAAGATCAAGTGTAGGAACTAATTCGGTCTTTTGATTCTTCACATTCCAGGGGTAGAGAATGATAAAGCTCTCAAACCATTTGCTCTGGCACTGACAAGGCAACCATAGGCAAGACTCAAAATTTAGTAAATCTGTAGCAGGCTAATTTTGAAGTTGATAATTTTGTATGGCCAATGAATAATGTTGTAAACATCCAAATGGTCCTTGGTAGAAAAAAGGTTTCCCCACCCCGAAAGCTAATGTCATCTATGGGGGTGGGGGTGGGGGTGTGTATTTTACAAATAATGGTTGAGTTTATGTATCTTATCAATTAAAATTGGATTACCATATGGAAAAGAAATTTATTTTTTTCTTTAGTGTTTATTAGTGATCTGGGTATTTATATTAAATCAAAAATAAACATACTTATCTTAAAATCTAATATATTTAGCTGCTTCTAGTTACAGGAGTAGGTTTTTCACAGAGCTTATTTATCTGTCAGTGGATTACAGTAAAATTTGATAAGAATTGTCATTACTGGGGAGGAGATAGGATGGTTTTAGTTTGTTAATATTACATGTGATTATTTGATAAGAATAATGGTTACATCTAAATACTGGGAATGGGGTGTTGAGAACATCTCTCCATTACTTTGTTTTAATTAAATTTATTTCTGAATGCTTTGTTTTCTAGCATTACTGTAAAAAAATATCAGTATGTTTCACAAAAAGATATCAATATGTTGAGGTTTGGAGGAACTGTTTGTGATCATGTTAAATTTAATATTCTGTTGAGCTTGATTTGTTTCTGTTGCAATAATGTTGAAATTTGATTTATAAAATACTCGATAGATACAAATTTCCATGCATATTAAATTTAATAAATTTTTTTCTTTAGCTTCAAAAGCAGTGGATTGCCTTTTGGATTCAAAGTGGGCAAAGGCCAAGAAAGGAGAGGAAGCTTTATTTACAACCAGGGAGTCTGTGGTTGACTACTGCAACAGGTAGTATTTATTTCTTAGTGAAGGATAATATAAATGATCATTTTAGTTTTCTTTCTAGTCCTGAAGTTGCTTACCTATTCTCATCATCAAATGCAGCTTATATTACAGCAGATCTCAAATATACCATGCATTTGTAACCCAGATTTCTTGAGTACCTCTGGAAATGCATTTGTTATTAGACTATTATATCTAAACTGTATATAATTTTTCATTAGATTCTATTACTTTCGTGTATTTGCCAGGCCTAGTTAACAAAAGGCAATAAAAATTAATATGCTTTTCCCTGGGTTAACAGAAAATTCCTTCGTTTGTAGAGCAAATGATGGAGAAATCTTTTTTCCAGAACTTTAACTTTCTTCTTTTAGTACCTATACCCTGAACCATAACCCAGATACCGTTCCCTTTTTAATTTAGTGGTTGTTAATGTAATAGTCCTTATAAAATCAACACAGCTGCAAAATCTACTTCGTCTCTTTTTGAGGATTTCAAGATGAAGTACATATACAGTAGCATACATATACTTTTCATAATAGGTACTTTTTCTTTTCAGAAAAACTTTTGATGGCACATAGTGTACCTAAAAGACAAAAATGTTCTTCCTCTTAGAAGTGTGATTATTTTCTTTTCATATTTTTCTCTGTTTACTTAATACATACCAAGAATGTTTCTTAACAGATACTTTTAAATTGTTTGTCATGACACATAAGTTTATAGGGAATTTGGGATTTTAGATTATTGTGCATGTTTAATAGTGTTTGACAGTACTTACCTAATATTTTGTTTAATGCACTTAAATTTCAACCGTCTGACAGCCCTTTTAAAAACTGCTATTTCACAACCTGGTTTCTTAAACTGTCAAGTTAAAGACTTATCAAGTATTTCATTTTTTTTAAAGTTTTATTTATTTATTTGAAAGGCAGAGTTATAGAGAGGCAGAGGTAGAGAGAGAGAGCACGTGAGGTCTTCCATCCACCGGTTCACTCCCCAAATGGCTGCAATGGCCAGAGCTGTGCCAATCCAAATCCAGGAGCCAGGAACTTCTTGTGGGTCTTCCACGTAGGTGCAGGGGGCCCAAGAACTTGGGCCATCCTCTACTGTTTTCCCGGGCCATAGCAGAAAGCTAGATCGGAAAGGGGCATCCAGGACTCAAACTGGTGGCCATATATTCAGCCACTGCACCACAGCGCGAGCCCCCAAATATTTCTTAGAATTCTTAGTTGCCAAAGACTAGAGGTCACTAAATGGACCCATTAGAAATGATAAGTTTCATCATTCAGACTGGTACGGCCAATACTTGTCCTTTTTTTTTTTTTTTAAAGATTATATTTGAAAGACTTACATAGAGAGAGAAGGAGAGACAGAGAGAGAGAGGTCTTCCATCTGCTTGTTCATTCCCCAAATGGCTGCAACAGCCGGAGCTGCACCGATCCGGAGTTGCACCGATCCGGAGCTAGGAGCTTCCTTTGGGTCTTCCCACGTGGGTGCAGGGGCCCAAGTGCTTGGGCCATCTTCTACTGCTTTCTCAGTCCATAGCCGGATTGGAAGTAGAGCAGCTGGGACTCAAACTGGCGGCCATATGGGATGCCAGCACTGCAGGCAGCTTTTCCTGCTACGCCACAGCGCTGGCCCGTTACTTGTCCTTTAAAGCAATTTGTCTGATTAGAATTAACTTGAAAGTGCAGTCTAACCTCTTTGACTCAAAATAATTTTATTTTTTACATATAATTTAAAAATTAAGAGATGTAAATTTGGAAACTGGGGCACATAGAAGTTAAGTACCTTGTCCAAGGTCATACGGCTAGTAAGTGACAAATCTCAGATTCTAGATCCAGCTCTTAACCATTGCACTCTGCTGCCTCCTCTAAGAAAATAAGGATGCATTTAATGGGGCAAAAATTAAAACTGATTTGCCTGCCAATACTGTTAACTTGGGATATTAATCTGTGGGCCCAAACCTCTGAGGAGAGCAGGCAATATTCATCTATATACCTTGGCCCTTTGGGAGGCTTTGTACCTTGTTTAATGAAAAGCTCAAAAGATCTGAATACAAAGACTTTCCTTGAGGCACACTGATTTTTCATTGTATATTTTACTCCATTCATGTTAGGTTGTTTGTACTAAAATAAAGGAGAGAAGGATGACTCTACCTAAGATCTTCACAGCCTCTTCTAATACAACCACCAACTCTTCTTGATGGCCAGTGCCCATGAGTTCCTTCCCAACCAGAGACAAAATTACAGAGATCTTGTCCAGTTTCATCTTCCAAAGCAGCTAAATAGACTTGATGGAGGGAAAACAAAGGAAATTAAAAAAAAAAATGGAATGATAACAAAGCAGCTTTTCTTTTTAAGATTTTGTTTGTTTATTTGAGAGATAGAATTTCAGACAGAGAGAGGGAGATACAGAGAAAAAGATCGTCCTACCACTGGTTCACTCCCCAAATGACTGCAATGAGCAGAGCTGGGCTGATCCAAAGCCGGGAGCAAGGAGCTTTTTCTGGGTCTGCCACGTGGGTGCAGGGACCCAAGTACTTGGGCCATCTTCTGTTGCTTTCCCAGGCCATAATAGAGAGCTGGATTGGAAGAGGAGCAGCCTGACAAGAACCAGTGCCCATATAGGATACCAGTGCCGTAGGTGAAGGCTTAGCCTACTACGCCACCACGCCGGCCCCTAAAGCAGTCCATGCCTTTTTGTGGCCTATTTCATGTATGAACTCTTCAGCCTAGTTTTCATAAGACTGTCTCATCAGCCCCTAGTCCAATAATGTCCTTTATTTTATTTTTCAGATTTGTATTTATTTATTAGAAAGGCAGAGAGAGTTACAGAGAGGCAGAGAGAGAGAGAGGTCTTCATCTGCTGGTTCAGTCCCCAAATGGCCGCAGTGGCCGGAGCTGGGCTGATCCAAAGCCAGGAGCCAGGAGCTTCTTCCAGTTCTCCCATGAGTGCAGGAGCCTAAGCACTTGGGCCATCTTCTACTGCTTTCCCAGGCCATTAGCAGCGAGCTGGATTGGAAATGGAGCACCAGGACTTGAACCGGCACCCATATGGGATGCCAGCACTTCAAGCAGAGGCTTTACCCACTATGCCACAACAATGCTGGTCCCAATAATGTCCTTCTTTTACATGGCTTCTGTTTTGTTGTTTTTCTAATCATAACCTGTCACTTTCCCTGAATGGTTCATTCACCCTTACCTCCTCTAATATTACAAACACATCCTTCAAGATTCATCTCTACTGTATAGTATTCTACAGGTCCTCCAGCCCTCATTAACCTTTTTATCTAAAGTTCTACCTAACTTATTGAGTTAGCATCACCTACTTTGGCCCTTTACTATTTTAGAATTCTTGCAAATGTGTTAGTTTTTTACATCTCTTGCTAAGTAAATCTGAAAACAGTTTATAGGACCGATTTACACGTTATTGTAACTCCACAGCAATTAGCACAATGTGGGCATTTAATACAACTTCACTGTTGCCACACAGGTGCCATATAGGTGAAAGTGCCTAACACCTGCCTGGTGTTCAGTAAATGTTGATTCAACCAGAAAAAAAAAATTAAGAGGTGAGGAAAACTACAATAGCAATTTTAAAACTTTTTATAAGCATTTTAGAAACTTGTTACAAGCTATTTTAAAACAATATATTTATTCAACCAGTATTTATCAAATATCTATTATTATATGCCAAGCCCCAGGAATATAATGATTACTGTAACTTATTTTCTCACAAAAAAATGCATGCTCTGGGGCCAGAACTGTGGCATAGCTGTTGTAGTGCCAGCATCTCTTATGGGCACCAGTTTGAGTACTGGCTGCTCTGCTTCCATTCTAGCTCCCTACTATCGTGCCTGGGAAGGCAGCAGAGAATGTTCCAAGTGCTTGGGCCCCTGCGCCCATGTGAGAGACCCACATGAAACTCCTGGCTCCTGGCTTCGGACCATCCCAGCTCTGGCCGTTGCTGGGAGTGAACAAGTAGATGGAAGATCTCTCTCTGTCTCTTCCCTCTCTCTGTAATTCTCCCTTTCAAGTAAAATAAATATTTTTTAAAAATACTACTACGGGGCCAGTGTTATGGCATAGCGGGTAAAGCCGTTGCCTGCAGTGCCGGCATCCCATAAGGGTGCCGGTTTGAGTCCCTGCTGCTCTTCTTCTGATCCAGCTCTCTGCTATGGCCTGGGAAAGTAGTAGAAGATGGCCCAAATCCTTGGGCCCCTGCACTTGCATGAGAGACCCAGGAGAAGCTCCTGGCTCATGGCTTCAGATCAGCATAGCTCCAACAGTTGCAGCCAATTGGGGTGTGTGTGTCTCTCTCTCTCTTTCTCTCTCTCTCTCTCTGTAACTATGATTTTCAAATAAATAAATAAATCTTTAAAAAAAAAGCATACTCTAATCAGAGCAGATCTATAGTTAATTAAAATAGGTGGAGAGGCTATCCAGAATAACTTCATAGAGAAGATGTTTCAGTCAAATTTTGAAATATAAATAGATAATTACTCAACAGGTAAAGAAATGATCGTCATTCCAAGCAAAGGGCACAGAACTTACCGAGATAGGGAAGTATGAGTAGTTGTGTGAAAACATCAGAGAGGCCGGCACTGTGGCTCACTATGCTAATCCTCCGCCTGCGGCGCCGGCACCCCAGGTTCTAGTCCTGGTTGTGGCGCTAGATTCTGTCCCGGTTGCTCCTCTTCCAGGCCAGCTCTCTGCTGTGGCCTGGGAAGGCAGTGGAGGATGGCCCAAGTGCTTGGGCCTTGCACCCACAAGGGAGACCAGGAAGAAGCATCTGGCTCCTGGCTTCGGATTGGCGCAGCGCACCAGCTGTGGTGGCCATTTGGGGGGTGAGCCAATGGAAAAGAAAGACCTTTCTCTCTGTCTCTCTCTCTTACTGTCTAACTCTGCCTGTCAAAAAAAAAGAAAACGTCAGAGAGCTTTGTATACTGATTTGTATAATATAATGTATATAAAGCCCGGTAAATGGAGATTCTGATTTTATTACAAAGATTACATAGCATCAGTTTTACTTTTCTAGGCATAGAATGAGTTCAAGTAAACATTCTCTAAAGATGCATCAAGGAATAAGTCAGTAATTCCACTTAGAACAGAACAGAATGATACTATAATGATTATGAAACCAAATATGTGTGTATTCCAAAACTATTAAATGAAATTAAAGATTTTGCCATAGCAATAATGGCTAGCATTTACCGAGTACATGTATGCCAGGCACAATGCTAAACACTTTACAGATTTCTCATTTTTCTTAAAAACAACTCCTATGAGATTGATACCTCATTTTAGAAGTGAACTGAAATTAAATTACCCTAAAATTACTCAGCCAGGTTGACTATCTACTTAAATATAAAATTATTTTAACTCCAATTTGATTGGAAGTTAATAATCTACTTTTGTTTCATGGAAGTGGGGCAGCTATGCAGGAAAGGTGACAGTAGCAGATTCTGTTGCTGGTATGTGTCCTATATTAGCAGGTTTTTTTCTTCTAAAGTTAAATGGTTTATTTAATATTTTATTTTTAGTTTATTTATTTTCATTTTACTTGAAAGGCAGAGATAGAGGGGCAGACATATTTTCCATCCTCTGGTTCACTCCCTAAATGCCTGCAGCATACAGGGCTTGGCCACACCAAAGCTACAAGTAGAGCCATGATGGGGAGCAAGCCCCCAAGAACTTGTGCAGTCATCTGCTTCCCCCCAGGTTACTCATTAGCAAGGAGTTGGATCAGGAGTGGAACAATTACCACTGGCACTTGCATGGATGTGTGCATTGCAGACGGCCACTTAACCTGCAGTGCCACAGTGCTGGCCCCTAAGTAGCATCTTAACTTGCCTTCTATGATTTGTTTTTTAAATGATTTATTTTGCATGGAGAATAGGTTTTTCTAAGAAAGCAAATTTGAGAAAACCAAACATTTAGGAAATGATACAGAAGAAAACTCAAATTACTAATGTTGCTTAATAGATAATTACATTACCATTTGGGACTATAGACTTCAGGTATCTGTATGTGTGCACATGTATTCTTAATATATGGACATCTACAATATGCACTAATTTAAAATGCTAGCTTTTTGGTTAATACATAGTGACCAAGATATATTTTTGTTTTCCTATTGAACAGTAATAAATATTTCTAATAGAAAATCAGGAAATCACAGAAGTACACCAAGAAAACTAGAATATATCTTCACTGTAAATTTTTTCAAGACATTCTAGAGTAGAGTAAAAATTGTAAAACTTGGGGCTGCATTCTGGTCAAGCTGCCACTTGGAACACCTGCATCCTATATCAAAGTACCTGGAATTGAGTCCCACTTCTGCTTGTGATCTGACTTCCTGATAATATACCTGGGAAGCAGCAGATGATGGCCTTGTGTACTTTGTTTCCTGCTACCTATGTGGGAGACCTGGTTGGAGTTCCTGGCAGGCCCAACCCTGGCTATTGTGGACATCTGGGGAATAACAGGTGGAAGGCGTGTGTGTATGTGTATGTATCTGCCTCTCCCTCTCTCTCTGGATCATTCTGAAACAAAGTTTGTGGCCTGCATTGAGGCACAGTGGATTAAACTCTGCTTCAACACTGGCATCCCATGTGAGAGCACCAGTTCAAGATTTGAGTCCATCTCTGTCTCTCTCTCACTGTCCACTCTGCCTGTCAAAAAAAAAAAAAAAAAAAAAGATTCGAGTCCTGGCTGCTCTACTTCCTTCCTACTCAGCTTTCTGCTAATGTACCTGGGAAGAGAATGAAAGATGGCTCAAGTGCTTGTGCCCATGCCACTCATGTGGGAGACGCAGATAGAATTCTGGGCGCCTGGCTTTGGCCTGAACTAGCCTGGGCCATTGCAGCTGTTTGGGGAGTGAACTGGAGGATGGAAGATTGCGCATTGTCTGTCTGTCTGTCTGTCTCTCTCTCTCTCTCTGTCACTCTGCCTTTCAAATAAGTAAATTAATCTAAAAAGGTGTGTGTGTGGGGGGGTAAGGTATCATTGTGGCACAGTGCATTGTCACTGGTTAGGATGCTGGTATCCCATATCAAAATGTTGGTTGAAGTCCTGACTACTCCATTTTCAGTGTCTGCTAATGTGCCTGGCTGGAAAGCAGCAAATGATGGCTCAAGTACTTGAGCTCCTGCCACCCACATAGGTGACCACCCAAGATGGAGTTGCTTGCTCCTGGCTTTGGCCTGGCCTAAATTCCACTGTTGTGGTCATTTGAGGAATTAATCAGAGAATGGAAGAGCTGTCTTTCCTTCTCTGTCTTTCACTCTTCTTTTCAAATAAACAAATCTTTTAGATAATTTCTCTGTATTCAAATGCCCACTATTACTCTTAAATCTCACCGTCTAACTTGTAAGTGGTTAATCATTAAGGTCTTGTTTCAGATTTTTGTGTGTGTGTAGCAGATGCTAATGGAAGCATTTTAGAGGGCAGTTTAAACAGCTACACAATGTGCTAAGTAGATCTTTTAAACAAATAGAATGAACCAAATGAAGAAATCTAGAAGACAGGCAGGTAAAACACAGGTGCTCCAGAGGATGCAAAATAGGGCCAGAAAGAAAGGGTCATCTGAGCAAGAACGAAACATCTAATCAACAAGTGGTGATGTGCTGGAGCAGGCATCAGTGAGCAGTTTTTAAAAAGATTTATTTATTTATTTGAAAGTCAGAGTTACACAGAGAGAGGAGAGGTAGAGGGAGAAAGAAGTCTTCCATCCGATGGTTCACTCCCCAATTGGCCACAATGGCTAGAGCTTCGTGGATGTGAAGCTGGGAGCCACTAAGAAGTACAGAGGCCCAAAGACTTGGACCATCTTCTACTGCTTTCCCAGGCTGTAGCAGAGAGCTAGATCGGAAGTGGAGCAGCCGGGTCTCGAACCAGCACCCATATGGGATGCCAGCGCTTCAGGCCAGGGTGTTGCACCACAGCGCCGGCCCCATCAGTGATCATTAAGTACACAGGTAGATCACCACCATTAGTGGGCAAAGATGGCGGTAGTGAGGCCTACTTAACCATGTTGTGGTAGTTGTAAATTATCAAGGCAAAAATGAAAAAATAAGTCGGGAACTCAGATTGGAACACATGATTTGAGAGAGGACTTTTAAATACAAAGGTTGGGGCCAGTGCTGTGGCGTAGAGGGTAAAGCTGCTGCTGCCTGCAATGCCAGCATTCCATATGGGTGCTGGTTCAAGTCCCAGCTGTTCCTTTTCCGACCCAGCTCTCTGCTATAGCTTGGAAAGCATAGAAGATGGTCCAAGTCCTTGGGCCCCTGTACCCCTGTGGGAGACCCGGAAGAAGCTCCTGGCTCCTGGCTTTGGATTGGCCCAGCTCCAGCCATTGCAGCCAATTAGGGAGTGAACCAGTGGATGGAAGACCTCTCTCTCTGCCTCTCTGCCTCTCCTTCTCTCTCTGTGTAACTGTTTCAAATAAATAAATCTTAAGAAATAAATAAATACAAAGGTAAGGGTGGTAGCACAGTTTCTTGGGCAGGATTTTAAGATTAGAGAGCAACTAAAGGCAAGGTTACCTTAATTTGGGATCAACTGAGCACCTAAACAGGTAAATGAATAAAGCAAGGGTCTTACTCTTTAGAGTCTAGTGAAGGAATAAGCAGATAAAACAAATGATATCATAGGTTAGAAGATAAGTGCTGTGTTGGCCAGCGCTGTGACATAGAAGGTAAAGCCATTGCCTACAGCACCCACATCCCATATGAGGGCCAATTTGAGTCCTAGCTGCTCCTCCTATCTGTCTCCCTGCCAGTGTATCTGGGAAAGCCGTGGAGGACAGCCCTTTGTGCTTGGGCCCCTAGACTCACATGGGAGACCTAGAAGAAGGGCTTGGCCAAGACCTAGAAGAAGCTTGGCCAAGCCCAAGGTGTTGTGGCCATTTGGGGAGATCAAAGACCTCTTTTTCTGTTTCTCCCCCTTTCTGCTGCCTTTCAAATAAATAAAATAAGTCTTAAAAAAAAAAGATAAGTGCTATGGATAGTATAATGGGAATCAGGATGGAAGTGGACTTAGAAACAGCATAGGTTATGGTTGAGGGAAAACTTGAAGGAAATAGGAAAACAAAAGAATATGCTTATTTCTGGAGGAAAACATTCTAGGGAAAGAGTGTAGCAACATGAAGGCACTGAGGAAAGAATGTTTAAAAAAAAGCTAGAAAGAGAGAAGAAATTAGTGAAAGTAGGTATACATAGTGTTTTGCCAAATATACTGCAGAATTTTATTTTGATGTTGTGAGAGTCCTTTTCGAAATCCAGCAATCTCATCTTAATATACTTAATTATTTATTACTTACTTGATATTTCATTATAGCAGCTGGCTGAATAATGAAATACATAGAGTAATAAACAACATCAAGAAAGAGCAGAGAAGATGTGATTTGGATTAGTCAATCATGGGCACACTTTCATTAACATTTCTTGAACTATTTCCTCCTTTATTATTTTTGTTCTTGCACTTGAGACTTAACATTGAATAAAGCTGAGTTGTATTACTTCTACTAAAGTTGGAGAGAAACTTTATATGGATGATTCTGAATCAGTAATTGTTTATATCTGAATTATGGAGTTAGAAGTGAAAATTTTATTAAATATCACTGAACTACTTTGACAACATTTATATAATTTGGCTGTAAAGTTTTTTGATTATGGATGGAGTTGACTGTTTTTTGCATAGGCATTCCAGTTGTGATTTCTCTTGTGAGTTGTCAGTTTACATCTTCTTCATTTTATTTAAGTGTTGATATTTTTTTTTAGTCTATCTGAATAATTGTCAGGGAATGTAATATTGTACCTTTTTTTCCCAAAGGCTATTAAAGAAACAATTTTTCCACCGGGCATTAAAAGTAATGAAAATGAAGTATGATAAAGACATAAAGAAAGAAAAAGATAAAGGAAAAACTGAAAGTGGAAAAGAAGAAGATAAAAAGAGCAAGAAAGAAAATATAAAAGATGAAAAGACAAAAAAGGAAAAAGAGAAAAAAAAAGATGGTGAAAAAGAAGAGTCCAAAAAGGTGGTTCATAAAATTAAGTAAAAATAAAAAATCATTATGTGCACATGATCCAACCAGCATGTGAGCACACTTAAAATACTATGTGGCAGCTACTTCAGATAACCATACTTAGGGTATTATAAATACTGTGCATAGAAATTGTTATTTCTGTGTTACAGAGTCAGTAAAAATTATTTGTGTACATATCATACTGGTTTTCTCTTGCTGTGTTATTTCTTCTCTTCAAATTGTTTTCATAGGAGGAAACTCCAGGAACTCCCAAAAAGAAGGAAACTAAAAAAAAATTCAAACTTGAGCCACATGATGACCAAGTGTTTCTGGATGGAAATGAGGTAAGAGTATTTAGCCTAGAAATCCAGTTTTCTATAGGAGTTTTTAGAAATATGTTTGCCTTCACTAAGAAAAGTAATTTAGAGAAATCTAACCATATACTTAAGTACAGATGCTCCTCACCTTACAGTGGGGTTACATCTCAATAAACCTACTATAAATTGAATATATCCTAAATTGAAAAGGCATTTAATATACCTAACCTACCAAATATTGCTTAGCCTAGCAATCCTTAAGTGTATTCAGAGCACTTCATTAGTTACAGTTGAGCAAAGTCATGTAACAAAGGCTTTTTAAAATTAATTGATTAACTGAGAGAAACAGTGAGCTCCCATCTACTGATTCACTCCTCAAATGCCTGCAATGGCTAGGGCTAGGCCAAGGGCAGTGCCATAATTGAGGACTACAATCCTTGTCAGCCAGGTCACCTCTCAGTTACTTGAACCATCAACTGCTGCCTCACAGAGTCTGCATTAGTAGGAAACTGGAGTAAAGAGCCAGAGTAAGGAACTGAACCTAGGTACTCTGATGTGAGATGCAGGGTGTCTTAATCATGAGGCAAAACGCCTGCTCCCAAATTCTCTTTAAAATAATGTATTGGATAGCTCATGTACACACACAGATGGATGTTTTGTGAATATAATGGGGTGCAAAACCCTGGCAGCAGAGTGCTGATAACCATTATGAGCACATGTCTGGCTGGGAACTGTCTCACTACTGCTACCCAGCATCATGAGAGAGTATCATACCATTTATCACTAGACTTGGAAAAGATCAAAATTCAAAATTTGAAGTACAGTTTGTATCAAATGCATATAACTCTCACATCATAAAGTCAAAAAAGTTGGGGACTATATGAGTATATTTTTTAAAAAATCAGTAATTTCTCTGGATTTAGATCTATTAAATATTAGAATAAGATTTGATTTTGTGTTAGTAATAGGAAACTTGGAAATAACATTGACCTCATCCATGAAATCTAGGGGTAAGCAGTACAGATATGTAGCTCCATGGTAGGACCGAGCTTCTCTTCTCTTCTCCACATGAGGCTTCCAGCTGTTTACTTCATGGTCCAAAATGACTGCCAAGTTTCTGTCTATACCCAAAAGAAGTTGGAAGCATGGAGAAAATGTCTGCTCTTTAAGGAACACAAATTAAATACACCATCCAGGAAGCTGTCTGTTTGATTTCTGCTTGGATTTCATTGGCCAGAAATGAGTCATTTGGTCATATGTAAAGTCTTAGAAATGCACTTTTTATAGTGGATGGCTATTGGCACAACTAAAAGGCAGTGTTTCTATTACTATAAAAGAATTAACACAATAGCTAACAGGCATCTACTGATCTCTGTCTCTTAGATAATATGCAGTCAAACATCTAACTTAAAGTGCCAAAATTTTCAACATTACTTGATGCCTTGCTCAAGATAATTTTATTGTATCTTTTGTAATGGGATGTCTGTGTGATGGTAGCCTTCCATGAAGACTGTTTAATTTACTCACTAATCAATGCAAAACATTGGTAATATAGTGGCCATTGAATTACTGTGAATTTCAAGACATCCTTTCTTGCTATTTGTAATACAAAAGTAGCATTCATAAAGTGTTAGCGTCTGTGGCTACATGTGTGAAGTTATAGGAAAACTTCAAAATATGTGTTGTGTTCTAGGCTCATTCCAGACATACTTGCACAAAAATCTCTAGAGTAGAATTAGGTGGTGGAATATATATTGGTATAAAGTGTTTTCAGGTGATTCTGATATTAACCTCTGGTTTAAGAGCCACTGGAATAGAAGACCACGGGACTTTTCTGAAGCAAGACTTCAGTTTCCTTCAGTTAAAACTTTAGCATCAGCTTTTATGGTAGACATTTTTTATATGCTTAGAGCATTATAAACACAATAAAATTCTCTAAAAGGAGGCTGTTATAGTCTAGCAAAAATATAAACATCTAATAAACATTTATAGTGTGAGAACACCAATCAAGAATATATCATTTGATCAGAAAGAACAAGGAGAGTCTAGAGACCCTAGACACTTGAGCTGAGCCTTGAAAGATGACTGGCAGATTACCATGTGGACCAGGAAGGAGTATAGGTCTGAAAAGAAGCAGCCTAAGCAAAACCATGCATGCTTGCCATGCAGAAAAACCTAGATTTTATTCTGCAGAAGGCAGTATGCACTCCAAAACTTTGAAGATTGGAAAATGTGTTTGTTTATTTAAATCATCTATTTTACAATGGTAAATGACAGAAATAATCTCTGGTGAATCTGATTCCTGAGAAGAGGTGCAGAGTAAAATAAAAGTAGAAGTGGAACTCCAGTATATTCAAAATAGAAAAACCAAGTCAGAAGACAGTACAATAAAGACTTCTGGTCATAACAGAAGTAGGAAGTGGAAAAGTACTGTTATTTATAGAAACTAAGAGTTTCATGGATGACGATGGAGCAGAGTTCTAATTTATTGTGTAAAATATCATTAGCCTTTGGGCCTGCACTGTGGCGTAGCAGGTAAAGCCACTGCCTGCAGTGCCGGCATCCCATATGGGCACCCATATGAGTCCCGGCTGCTCCACTTCTGATCCAGCTCTCCACTATGGCCTGGAAAACCAGTAGAAGATGACCCAAGTCCTTGGACCCCTGCACTTGTATGGGAGACCCAGAAGAAACTCCTGGCTCCTGACTTCAGATCGGCTCAGCTCTGACCATTGCAGCCATTTGAGGAGGGAACTAGCAGATTAAGACCTCTCTCTCTCTCTCTCTCTCTCTCTCTCTCTCTCTCTCTCTCTCTGCTTCTGCCTCTCTCTAACTCTGCCTTTCAAATAAATAAATACATCTTTAATATATATATATTTATTAGCCTATAAAAGTAAAAGTAAGCTTTGAAGCAGTGGTTCCCAACTTAGGGTTATAGATCTTCCATGGAGAAGTAGGCCCTGAAATTATTTCAAGAGAGTTACAGAGTCTTTATATTTACCAAGCATGGTCTTTATTGTGTCATATCAAAGGTGAGAATAGGGTGGAGTTGAGTGCTTCCAGATCTGCAGTAGCACAGGAGCCTTTTTTTTTTTTTAAGATTTATTTTATTTATTTGAAAGACAAAGTTACAGAGAGAGGTAAAGCCAGAGAGAGACCTGAGCTGATCTGAAACCAGGAGCCAGGAGCTTCTTCCGGGTCTCCACCATGGGTGCAGGGGTCCAAGGACATGGGCCTTCTTCTGCTTTCCCAGGCCATAGCAGAGAGCTGGATTGGAAGTGGAGCATCTGGGACTTGAACCGGCACCAATATGGGATGCCGGCATTGCAGACCGTGGCTTTAACTGTCTGCACCACAGCACTGGCCCCAGGATCCTGTCTTAACTTGGCTTTTAGCCCAGCTGGTTCATCATTACATTAAGGACAAACAGATTAATGATTATGAGTCTTTAGATTAAATAATAATTTGTACATCTGAACAGATTATTGAGTACATACAGTACATACAAATTTACTTAAGTACATTATAGATACAAAGTTTTCTTAGAATCTAACTGAATGTCAGAAAAACACCTTTACAGAAGGAAAGATCTTTGGAATTTTTTTTACATTAGAAAGTACCTCTCGGCCGGTGCCGCAGCTCACTAGGCTAATCCTCTGCCTTGCGGCGCCAGCACACCGGGTTCTAGTCCCGGTCAGGGCGCCGGATTCTGTCCTGGTTGCCCCTCTTTCAGGCCAGCTCTCTGCTGTGGCCCGGGAGTGCAGTGGAGGATGGCCCAAGTGCTTGGGCCCTGCACCCCATGGGAGACCAGGAAAAGCACCTGGCTCCTGGCTTCGAATCAGTGCGGTGTGCCGGCTGCAGCGTGGCGGCCATTGGAGGGTGAACCAACGGCAAAGGAAGACCTTTCTCTCTGTCTCTGTCTCTCACTGTCCACTCTGCCTGTCAAAAAAAAAAAAAAAGAAAGAAAGAAAGAAAGTACCTCTCTGATGTGTTAGAAGAGTGGTGACAGCTTGAGAAGACCTGAAATATAGAATTAAGCTTCATTTTCTAACGTGATTTTAGAAAGTTTCAGCACTGTGATTTCTTGTTTTTTCTAGGTGTATGTGTGGATCTATGACCCAGTTCACTTTAAAACGTTTGTCATGGGATTAATTCTTGGTAAGTAGCAGGATGTAAGTAGCATTAAACTACTGTATGAAATGTAGAAAACAAAATGCAAATGCCATAAAGAAAAACATTTCCAAATTTATAAAGTAGTTACCACTTGAACCAATGTTGTGGTGTAGCAGATTAAGCTTTTGCCTGCAATGCTGACATCCCACATGGGTGCTCATTCAAGAACTGGCTGCTCCACTTCCAATCTAGCTCTCTTCAAATGCACCTGGGGAAAGCAGTGGAAGATGGCCCAAGTACTTGGGCCCCTATACCCATTGGGAGACCCTGAAGAAGGTCCTGGCTTCCGCCTTGGCCATTGTGGCCATTTGGAGAGTGAACCAGCAGATGGAAGATCTCTCTGTCTCTCCTTCTCTTTTTAACTTGGCATTTAAAATTAAAAAAAAAATTAACACTTTCAAAAATATACAGTAAAGCCATAAGATAAGCAGTGAGTTAAGGATAATATTTGTGCCACATTAAAGCAAAAATATTTACGAGATTAACAGCCTGAAAGAAAAATAATAAAGGTAGCTCATAGACAAAGAAATACAATGGGAGTTGGTTCATGTCCCAGATGCTCCACTTCCAATCCAATCTTTTTTTTTATGATTTATTTATTTGAAAAATAGAGTTAGAAAGGGGGCGGGGAGACAGAGATATCTTCCATCCTCTGGTTCACTCTCCAAATGGCTGCAATGGCTGAAGCTAGGCCAATCCAAAGCCAGGATCCAGAAGCTTCTTCCAGGTCTCCTACATGGGGTCCAGGGGTGCAGGGACTTGGGCCATATTTTTCTGCTTTCCCAGTCATATTAGCAGGGAGCTGGATGGGAAGTGGAGCAGCCAGGACTTGAACTATTGCCCATATGAGACACCAGTGCCACAGGCAGCTGCTTTACCTACTACACCACAGCACTGGCCCCAGTAAGTTTAAAAAAAAAAAAAAATACAGTGACTAATCATCATGACTAACAGTAAGTCACACTTGTAGTAAGTACAAATTAAGGCAACAATGATTAAGAGGATTGTGGAGTTTTTTAATACAGGTTTTGGAAAAAATGGTAGTTGTACAAATGTGCATATAGAGGGATATTTGCATTGCACCGTTGTCTGTAATCTGGTAAAACTCAAAATAATTCAAGTTTCTCAATAAGAGAATCTGAAATAAATTACAGTACCCCTATACAATAGAATCATGCACCTCTTAAAGAATTAGGATGTTCTGATGGAAAGATATCTAAATAGAATTAGTGAACAAAGAAAATTACAAAAGAGTAAAGATGGTATAAACTTTTTCATTTAGAAGAAAAAAAAGTTTTTGGGGGTCAGCATTGTGGCACAGCAAGTTAAGGGGCCACCTGCAACACTGGCATCCTATCTGAGTCCTGGGTCAAGTAAAGCCTACTCCACTTCTGAACCAGCTCCTTGTTAATGTGCCTGAGAAAGCAGCAGCAGATGACCTGAGTGTTTGGGGCCCCTGCTACACACGTGAGAGACCTGGATGGAGTTCTAGACTCCTGACTTTGTCCTGTGGCCAGTCTGGCCATTACAGCCATTTGGGGAGTAAACCAGTGATGGAAATCGGTGTCTCTCTGTTTCTCTGTAACTCTGCCTTCCAAATAAATAAATAAATTTTCAAAAATATATTTTTAGGTTTGTAGGTTCATTTATATATATAGATAATCTGGGAATACAAATAAACTTAATACTTTTGGGGAATGGAACAAGAATTGAATGAAGACTATACGCTTTGGTTTTGATTTTTTTTAAGATTTATTTTTATTTATTTGAAAGGTAGAGTGACTCAGAGAGGGAGAGAGAAAGAGAGAAAGGAATCTTTCATCTGCTGGTTTACTTTCCAAATGGCCAAGTCTGGGCCAAGCCGACTGAAGCCAGGAACTCTGTCCAGGTCTCCCAAGTGGGTTGCAGGGGCCCATGTGCCTGGGCCATCTTCCACTGCTCTCCCAGGCACATTAGCAGGGAGCTGGATCAGAAAATGGAGCAGCCAGGACACAAACCAGTGCTGCAATATGGGGTGCCAGCATCGCAGACAACAGCTTAACCTGCTACACCATAATGCTGGCCTCTGATTTGGTTTTTTAACATTAGTGGATATTCCTGGAAATACAGGGCAGGGGTGGGTGGGGAAAGAATGATTCAACAAATAGAGAAAAATAGATAGCAGATAAAATAAACTTGGTCAATATGATGTCATGGGTACCCCATCAAATAACTTTTTTTTTTTTAAGATTATTTATTTTACTTGAAAAAGTTACAGAGAGGCAGAGAGAGAGAGAGAAAGTCTTCCATCTGCTGGTTCACTCCCCAAATGTCTGCAAAGGCAGAGCTGGGCTGATCCAAAGCCAGGAGCTTCTTCTGGGTCTCCCACACAGGTGCAGGGGTCTCAAGGACTTGGGCCATCTTCTACTGCTTTCCCAGGCCTTAGCAGAGAGCTGGATCAGAAGTGGAGCATCTGGGACATGAACTGGCGCCCATGTGGGATTTTGGCGCTGCGGGCAGCGGCTTTACCTGCTACACCACAGTCCACTCCTCCCCTCAAATAACTTTTATAAGTCAAAAACCAAACCCAATCCATAGCTAGTAACTGATAACCTTTGGTTGCTTAACACTGTACTATAATCACTTTGCTAAATATTTTATGTGCAGTGTCAGTTAATCTTCAACCTTTAAAAAATAGGAACAGACACCTTACTAATATAAGGTAGCTTAACTGCTTTCTCTGTCTCTCCCTCCCTCTCTCTGTCACTCTGCCTTTAAAATAAATAAAATAAATCCTTAAAAAATTATAATTAATCTCAAAAGATTAAAACTTGTCCAGGGTTACTTAACTTAAAAATGATAGAGCTAGAATTTTCATCCTAGTATTACTCTGAAAACTTAATAACCAGACTTCTGACTTCTTAAAATTCTTTCATATGGCTTCATTTCACTTGCAAAAAACCTGGGGAGTATATAATTACCATAATTACCAAAAAACCCATATGTAGCAGAATAACTTGGTGAACCTTTTCAATCTGTGGTTATTAGAACTCCATCCCTGAATCAGAATCTCCCGGAAGAGGTTTTTTTTTTTTTTTTTTTTGAGGTTAGCTGTCTGTTGTTTCTTCAAGCTATCCTGCTCTGTATACAAATATTTTAATAGCCAAAAAATAAGGTATTCTTAGCTTGAAAATGACATCAGTTGATAATTTGAGAAACTAACAGTTTGATTTTTAGACAGTGCTCTTTTCTGATTATATGTAACTTACTAAAAAAATCCTAACGTAATTTAAGAACAGTATCAAGTGTTAGGTTGAATAATAGGAAATTGCTCATAATTAACCCTTTTTTACCTATAAAAATAACAACACTGTATTTCAGTATGTTTTGTTTTCACCATATCCCCCCGCTGGCCCTCCCCAGAAGTGTTTGCTGTTAGTACAGCCGAGCCGTTAGACTTTCTGTTCTACAAGTTATGAATGTAAATGCTGCTTCTTGTTTCAGTGATTGCGGTGATAGCAGCCACCCTCTTCCCTCTTTGGCCAGCCGAAATGAGAGTCGGTGTTTATTACCTCAGTGTGGGCGCAGGCTGTTTTGTAGCCAGCATTCTTCTCCTTGCTGTTGGTGAGTATTGTTATTAATAAAACTGGCCTCAGTAAGGTAGGTATTAAGTAATAGAAGTATAATCTGGAACTTCAGGAAAGCTTAATAGTAGAATCCATGTAGATAAATCAAGAAGTATTTACTCCTACTTTCTGGGTCAAATCCCAAGCCTGACTTGGACTTGATTAGATTTGGTCTAATCTGAAGGGGGAGGATTAATGTATCTTTTTTTAAAGTTGTTTTTATTATAACTATTACTTTTGATTGACAGATCATAATTGTATATACCTTATGGGTACAATGTATTGTTTTGTAGACAATGCAGAACGATTAAATCAAGCTAATTAGCATCTATCACCTGTCTTACCTGTCATTTTTTATGAGACCTTTGAAATTTATTCTCAGTTGTTTTGAAACACATAATATATTTTGTGTCTTAATCTGTATAGTTATACTTCAAAATTAGTTACAACAAGGGGTTTAATAGCTTTACAGTGGCCATTATTTATTCATTTATTTATTTTTAAAGATTTTATTTTATTTGAGAGGTAGAGTTACAGATAGTGAGAGGGAGAGACAGAGAAAGTTCTTCCTTCCATTGGTTCACTCCTCAAATGGCCGCAATGGCCAGAGCTGTGCTGATCCGAAGCCAGGAGCCAGGAGTTTCCTCCCAGGTCTCCCATGGGGGTGCAGGGGCCCAAGCGCTTGGGCTATCTTCCACTGCTTTCCCAGGCCATAGCAGAGAGCTGGATTGGAAGAGGAGCAGCCAGGTCTAGAACCAGCACCCATATGGGATGGCAGCGCCACAGGTGGAGGATTAATTTGCCAACCCCCCATCATTTATTAAAAGTAATATTTTCTGTAAAACATTTGATTTGATTTTAAGGTAAATAAAACTTATATATTAAATGTTTAAATTCTATGCACATATTCAATATGTGGTTCTAAAAATTTGGCTTGCTATGTGGGAGAAGATCAGTAATTTTCATTGAGGTGCCAGAGTAAATCCTAGACTCATTAGTTGATAAATATTTTGAAAAGTAAACAAGAAAACATCAAATAAATATTTTTCCACAGTTTTAGATGATCAGTGTTTTATAGTTAAAAGTATAAATATAACTGAAAGAACAAATAGATTTTGATGACCAAGAATTTTAAAAACCAGGGCTATTGTCATGGCGTAGCAAATTAAGCCACTGCCTGTAACTCTGGCATCTCATCTGGGTGCCGGTTTGTGTCCCAGCTGCTCCAATTCCAATCCAACTCCCTGCTGATGTACCTGGGAAAGCAGCAGCAGATGACTCAAGTACTTGGGCCACTGCATCCATGTGGGAGATAGAGTGAAGCTCCTAGCCCCTTGCTTCAACCTGGCCCAGCCCCGGCCTTTGCAGTCAATTGGGGAGTGAACCAAATGTCTCTCCCTCTCTGTATATAATTTTGCCTTTCAAATAAATAAATCTTAAAGAATTAAACCCTTTTCACATCAAACAAACAAAATTACAAACAAGCAACGGGGGCCAGCACCATGGCTCACTTGGTTAATCCTCTTCTTGTGGCACCGGCATCCCATATGGGCGCCAGGTTCTAGTCCCAGTTGCTCCTCTACCAGTCCAGCTCTCTGCTGTGGCCCGGGGGCCCAGTGGAGGATGGCCCAGGTGCTTGGGCCCCTGCATCTGCTTGGGAGACCAGGAAGAAGTGCCTGGCTCTTGGCTTCGGATCAGCGCAACTCTGGCTGTGGCGGCCATTTGGGGAGTGAACCAGTGAAAGGAAGACCTTTCTCTCTGTCTGTCTCTCTCACTGTCTGTAACTCTGTCAAATTTAAAAAAAAAAAAAAAAAAAAAAAGCAACAATCTGACAGGACAGGCCAAAAAAATAAAATCCCCAACTACTCATATCAATTGATAGGAGAAGCTGAATATTAAATGATAAAGACACAAATGTCCTTTCATCCTTTAGAAGAGGGAATAAAAACAAAACGATAAATATGTAAAAATGCTCATCACTCGTAGTCAAAGAATAAATTAAGATAATAAGGTATTTTTCTATATAACTATACAGATCTTTTTGAAATAGTAATACCAGGGTAAGCATGACTGAAAGGAAATGCAACCAAATGTGAATAGTGGTGGTAGTTACGATTTTAATCTTATTTACATTTGTCTATATTTTCCCACGATAACCATATTACCTATTCTGGTTTAAAACCAACAAATACCATTTTATTTGAAATCCTAGTCTTTGAAAATTGTCCTATGTCATGTGGGAAACTCAATTTTTCAACTTGAGAAAGATGCATGAAATTTTTTCATCTTATCTAAAATTGTCTGATGATTATTTAATTATATTGAGTTCCTTGATCCACCAGGAGTTTATGTCAGTGTATGTAATGAAGTTCTGATTATTTTCCCCAAGTAACAAATCAGCTTTCCACCAAGATATAGGAATATGTCTTTATAAAAGATGAAACAACACCAATTTTACTGACCTAATATCTGTTGTTACAGGACATTATTTGACCAAGATTATCTGAACTGGGTATAGATTGTATGATACATACATATTTCTTACATTTTTAAAGCATTGCTCCTACAGCCCCAAGTAATTACCCTTTACCCTGGCCATCAGGACATCCTCGGTCAGTGCTACCATCTGTGGACACAGGAGCTCATTGAGTTTTCCTTTAACCCATTATGTTTGTGGGCTTCTTTTCTCTATGATCTCAGAAAAACCCTGCTGCTCCTGCATGCTACAAGCACATTTGTATGCCAGGAAATAATAAATAAGCCTGTTGAGCAGGTAACTTGGTGTAATACCTGCATCCAGAAAAAAAAGGCATATATTTTGATTTGACATTAGATATAACAAAATTTATGCCTTATGGCTCTCAAACCACCGAAATTTAGAAAATCCTTGAAAATTTGCAACAATAGTTTAGCTCCACTAAATGATTCATGGTTGTTATTTTACTCTTGAAAATACTGTTTCTTCAGTAGTGTTTTTTTATATTTTTTCAAAAACACTATGGATTTAAGTATTCATTATGAATCCAAATTGTCTTGTGAATTAAAATAGGAAACAAACCCAACAGTTTGTGTTAATTCTGTTAGGAAATACAATTCCAAATATACTGTCAAGTAATTTTGACATGTAGCTCATTTAAAACTGGATATTTAGGTTATCCTGTGAAGTATTAGATATTAATAAAAATTATATTTGGTGTTACTCTGTGCATTGTTAATATCACCACTTAAAACAACACCTCCAGCAGTTTTATAAAATGTGTCACTTTTAGTACAGGAACAAAATTGTAGTACATGTCACTTTTTCCATGATTCTCCCCCTCTTGCCCTTGGTAATCTGGTGCTACATAAAGAAAAACTATAAAACATGGTAGAATTCTGCTGTGCCCAGTTAGTGTGTGGTAAGAAATTAGGTTTTGTAAGTATTTGTGTCATTTCTGTATTGCTGTTTTGGGGATATAATGGGAAATTTTGTATTATGAACCATCTTTTACAACCTTGTGAAAGCTACCATAGTATTGTAATTGTATTTAGAGAAAAACTTCCTTAAATTGTTCATTATCTCTGTTTCTCTATGGGTGAAGTTTTTTCTTTAAGATTTATTTATTTTTATGTGTAGGGGGGTCACGGAACAGAGACAGAGATTTTCCGTTTACTGGTTCACTCCCCAAAATGGCCTCAACAGCTAGGGCTGGACCCAATCAGGTGCCAGGAACTCCTTCCTGGTCTCCCACATGAATGGCAGGGACCCATCTTCCGCTGCCTTCCTAGGCATATTAACAGGAAGTTGCATCAGAATCAAAGTAACTGGGACTGGCACTGGCCCTGGCACTCCAATATGGGATGCCAGCTGTGCAAGTGGCAGCTTAACATAACATAGGCCCTTGGAATTAAATCATACTTTTAGACATACAAAGGTACCTCTAAAAGTTCATGGCAAAATGGAGTATAAAAGTAAGTTTATTTTGGCTCAAAAAAGTTTTTGAAATCATTGCATGATTTTTCAATTTATGAACTTCTTGAAGAATCCTCCTATGCATAGATTTCAAACATTTTTGCACCAAAATAAACTTACCTTTAAAAAAAAAAGATTTATTTATTTGAAAGCTAGTGTTACAGAAAGAGAAAGAGCTCTTCCATCCGTTGGTTCATTCTCCAAATGGCTGCAACAACCGGAGGTTGGCTAATCCAAAGCCAGGAGGAGCCAGGAGCTTCTTCTAGGTCTCCAATGTGGATGCAGGGGCCAAGGACCTGGGCCATTCTCTCACTGCTTTCCCAGGCCTTAGCAGAGAGCTGGATCTAATTGGAGCAGCCGAGACTTGAACTGGTAGCTGTGTGGGATGCCTGCACAGCAGGCTTTACCTGCCACGCCACAGTGCCAGCCCCAAACTTATCTTTTAATTCCATTTTGCTGTGAGCTTTTTGAGGTACCCTCATATTTACCATTTTTGTTTATCAAATTCTGATGTAAATGAATCTTTAGAATATTTCTATTCTTATAAACATTAAAATTCTGCCTTATAAATAGGTATTTTGTTTACAAATACTACTTTATAAATATCAAGGCAGCTATACCCATTTTCTTTTCTCTGAAGCAAATAATGGAAAAAGCATAAATAAGCTTTTTTCAGACTTTATATATATATATGCCATATATAGATATGTGGTACAATTGTTTCTAAAGGAAACAAAATACAAAATATAACAAAAACACCTGAAATTCACATAATCATCATGACCTTTAAGAAAAAAGGAAATATCACTCCACTGTACCTAATTGGTAAATTAAGGTAAGACTATATGAAGTATTGGGGTTTGTGATAATTTATTACTACAAATTTTAAAATCCAATTTCTGTTATCCCACAGTTGTTTCATAGTATTGTTCTAAAAGAGTAACTCATAAACCTTATGTGATTTACTTAATTAGTAAAACAAAGAAGATTAAAAAGTAGAAATTCACTAATTCTGGGAATCTTTATCCAGGCAGAGTAGGCACATGCCTCAAACCCACAATACTTGCCAGGGCCCACAGAAATGTTTTCATTTTCATTTAAAATCAGAAAATAGTAAAATCAGAAATAGTAATCTGCATATGTGAATATATAATAGCAAACCTATCCAGTATTATGTTTGCATCTATACCAAAGTAGTCATTAGTATATGTAAAATAGAATTTTGATTATTTCTTACAGAGTAAGTGCCCTATAAAGGCAAAAGTATCTAGGACCTACAAAAGTCATGATGCAGCCCTGCTGTTTTCCTTTTAAAGGCTTCATTCTTAGAGTATCCTTTATGTGTTACTCACAATTTTTTTCCTTTTCTTGTACTATAATCTCATAAATATTTAAACTCCAACTCACTATTATGTTTATTAATGTATAGCATTGCAGTCACTGTACAGAAATCATAAGTGTATATGCATGAAACAGCACTTCTATGAAAAATATAATTTTTAAGTGCTGTTATATCACTGTGCCCTTAAGTTTTAATATCTGCTGCTAAAATACTGTGCTAGCTGCTGAACTAGTCAGGATTTAAATATTCACGTTTAAAGTGCTTGAAATATGCAGTAGTGGAGCTCAATGTTTGTCTAGTGTTTTATTAACAGAAATCCCTGCTGTCTGAACCAATCTTTGAAATACTCAGTTAAAGAAATCTTTCTCTCCACAGCTCGTTGCATTCTGTTTCTCATAATTTGGCTCATAACTGGAGGAAGACACCACTTTTGGTTCTTGCCAAATCTGACTGCTGACGTGGGCTTCATTGACTCCTTCAGGCCTCTGTACACACATGAATATAAAGGACCAAAAGCAGACTTAAAGAAAGATGAGAAATCTGAAACCAAAAAGCAGCAGAAGTCTGACAGTGAGGAAAAGTCAGACAGTGAGAAAAAAGAAGATGAGGAGGGAAAAGTAGGACCAGGGAATCACGGACCAGAAGGCTCCGCTGGGGAACGGCATTCAGACACAGACAGTGACAGGCGGGAAGACGACCGATCCCAGCACAGTAGTGGAAATGGGAATGATTTTGAAATGATCACAAAGGAAGAACTGGAACAGCAAACAGATGGGGATTGTGAAGAAGAGGAGGAGGAAGATGAGGATGAAGAAACACCTAAGTCTTCACATGAAAAATCATAATCTCACTAATTTGGGGACTGAATAGTGCAAGAAGTTGGATTTTCTATGTTGGTTGATCATTATAATGTACACATGGCATTTGTAGCATTCTTTAAATCCATTTCTAAAATGTATTTGACATCTAAGCAGTTATATTCAGTCATTTGTTTTACAAAATTTTGGTACAGTCTAAAGCCATTAATAAGTTATCCATTTGATAATTTTACAGTAAATAGATCTCATGCATTTTGATAGTTATCAAAGATGTACTTTACATAATGACATTTAGATTAAGGGCATTTTTTGATAGTTGTATGGCTTTTTACTGTTAGACTAATCAAAATAACTTTAAAAGAAATAAAGAAACTCCAGCATTTCAGATTTTGCATAGTTATGTAGCCATTTCACAGTTTCTTTAAGATGAAATGCTTAAACTCATTGTTCTTAATAGTTAATTAAGCTTTTGTTTTTCATTATAAAATAATACCAGGAAATTTCCTTTTATGATTCCAAGTTAGCAGGGTTCAAAAGCATTTTGTGCAAACAAGCCAACTAGTAACAATACATCGACACTTTTAGTTTAGCTACAAACTCTCCTTTCCCAACGTAGGAAATCCAAACTGATTTGTACATCCAATTCCAAGGAAGGTGTTCATCTCCAGCAGAAGCAGCGAACAGCATTGGTTGGAACGTGTTGACTCTTGTTCCTTCCCTATCTCCTGTCGTAACGTAAAGTGTATTCTGTACATAATTTACAAAGAAAACAAACATTTTATTTTAATTGTTGCTTATTATTTAGACATTTCTCAACACTTAAATTTGTAAAAGTAAGTCCATGTAAGGGTATGTTTTTAGAAATGGAAGTTTCGATAACCCACAGAACATCTGCGATCTTTCTACAGCAGCTTCAGTTTTGTGCCAACATTCCATGTATTTGACTATGAGTAAAAACTGATCCTTATTAAATAAGAGCAGACTTAAAGTAGCTGTTTGTATGCCTTAATGTCTATTTTGATTTATTTTAAATCTTTACATTCAGAAATGGGTACTGTATTATCAGACCAGACGGCACTGCTGTGAAAGATAATTTACTGTTCTAAAATATCAATTTAAAATAAAGAATATGAAAGAAAAAATAAGAGAACCATTGCACTCTAATTGCTTTAAACTAGTTTTACAGCTTGATTTTATGCCTCATATCTGTTATAAGTCTTAGAAAAATTTTGTTTAATTATAATCATAATCATTCCTTAAAGTTACGCTCTTAAAAACTGGTAATGAATATAAAATGAGTTTCCTTCTGTCACAGAGCATTTTGCCTTGTAGTTGGAGTAAGTCATGTATGTAGCTCTTTATTTTCCTTTGGCCTGTTCTCATCTAACTTAACCAATGATGTTAAGTTTTCCTAATTTTGCAAGAGAATACATTTTCTGTATATTAACACACTTCATTAAACATAACTTGATTGCTGCTTTATAACATTCCCATAAATGGGCAGAAATGTGACTGTTTGATATTAATGCAACTTCATCAAAGCTGCAATCATTTTAAGAGTTCTCAGCAAATATTCATTAATTTTTGTGCCTGGGTATTTTCCTGTCACATTTGCAGAACTTTTTTATTTTCACAGAAAGGACATCTGTAATCACCAGAAATATTAATATTTATTTTTGTGTATGAAATTGATACCAGAAGTGTATTCAAGAAATAAAAAAGACTGTTAACCATTACTACTGTGATAATACCCAGGCACTTAAAATGTATCCTGAAATACTTTATAATATATGTACTGTTTCTAGTCTTAAAGACATTTGGAGCATGGTGGACAAGAAAGTCACCTTACTGGTTTATAGAGTCTTACAGAATATTAGTACAAATTTTTAGAAATAGCAGATGAGGGAAATGGGGGGGCGGGGATATTAAGATTGAAAAGTGAGTTAGAAGTTTCAGCTTAATATCTGTTTTACTATTTAAGGTTATATAATTTAAACCAATATAAAAGTCAAAAGGCTGACTCAGAAGAATAGATGGCTCTGTTGATTAACATTAAATACTCTTATGCCAAAGCCTGGAGAATTGTTTACAGTAATCAATTGAATGGTGACTTTTTTTTTTAAGAGTTTCAGATTTGCTATGCTACTGTAAGTGAGCAGTTAAAAAAAATTGGACCACCTAAGCAGGACTGAATTAATCAGAGGCTAAATCCAAGTGGCAAGAATAACATGTATGTGATTACTCCTAGAGTCAACATATTACATAGGGTGCTTTCCTTTTCCCTCCATCTGAATTCTTTAGCTTTGAAGCTGTGGGGCTCTCTATATAATACTAAGTGAAATAATTTAGATTTAGTTGAATGCTATTAAAAAGTAAATGCTATAAAATAATAAATTTTATATATCATACTGAAATTCTGCAGCAGTAATGGATTTTGATGTTTCCCCCTTCTTTCTGGTTTTACATCATAAGGACCAGGTAGCTACTGCCTAGAAAAAATAATCTTGTGTTTTTAGTATGTTGAATTTTTTTTCTTTAATCTTTCTTAGGAACTGGAAAATAGCAGGTACAGTTGATACTCATTCGTGGTAGTTATATTCTATAAAGTCACTGAATTAGCAAATGCTGAACCATTACTAGAGGAAGGAAAGCCAGGGCTGAGTTTCTGCAAACCTCTGGTTACAGCATTTCCATCAGCTGGTCGATGCATAGACGTGGTATAGGTTGTTTCTGTTTTAAGGCCACCTCATTTAATGTTGTTGAGTCATTAACATTGAACTCACGGCTGTAGCACTGTAACTTATGCCTGAATGAAGCTTATCTAGCATGTTTTCTCTGTCGGCTACTTCACAGCCTTTTTGCTCTGAGGAACACTACTTAGCACCTCAGCATTATATTTGGGGGCCATTTTAAACAGTGAAATCAAGGGCAGACATTTAGTGCAGCAATTAAGTTGCTGCTTATCAGGCCCACACTCCATATTAGAGGACCTGGTTGGGTCCCAGCTACTTTGCTTCCAATACAGCTTCCTACTGGTGTGCACCCTGAGAGGTAGCCAATGATGGCCCAAGTGCTTGGGTTGCTACCACTACATGGAAGATCCACACTGAGTTCCAGGCTCCTGTCTTTGGCCTGGCCCAGCCCTGGCTATTGTGGGCTTTTGGGAATTGAATCAGCAGAAGGAAGATTGGTCTCCCTCTGTCTATCTGTCTCTATCTCTGTCTCTGTCTTTCTGCCTTCTGAGTAAAATGAAAAATAATGTATTTTTAAAAGATCTGTTTATTTGAAGGCAGGGTTACAGCAAGAGAGGGGGAGACAAAGAGGTCTTCCATTACCAGCTCACTCCCCAGGCTGAAGCCAGATCTCCCACGTGAGTGGCAGAGGCCTAAACACTTGAGCCATCTGCTGATGCCATTTCCAGGGCATTAGCAGGGAGCTGGGTCAGAAACAGCAGCCGGAATATGAACTGGTGCCCATATGGAATGCTGACACAGTAGGCAGAGCCTTTACACACCGCCACAACGCCGGCTCCAGAAATAAATGTTTTAAAGATATTAAACAGTGAAATCAACAAAACTTACAAAAATGCACAAAACGTGGCATTAACTATTAGAGCAAAAAGGACATGTATGAGAGCTTGAACGAGAAGGCTTTTGTTCAGAGTCAGCTGAGCATATGCATTTGCCAAGTTAATTTTGCTGCTCTGCCAGTGACCACCAAAGCACCACAAAAGTTTTAGAACAAATTCACCAAAAAATGGAATCCACAAATAATGAAGATCAACTGTACTTAACTATATTAAAAAGCTGTAGCATTTACCTACCTTATCTACAGAACAGAATATATTGCTAAATCCTGCTGTAGTATTTGAGTAATTTTAAATATCCACTCTGTCTGAAAGCAAATATTTCTTAATTGTTGTATAGTAGATAATTTGCTTTTACTCTGTTTCAGCAATATTTCATATCTGTTCATTAATACTAAGCACTTACCTTGTACCATGATTTTATCAGGCACAGCCATAAATAAACATACAGTTCTGGCTTCTTGGGGTGTCCAATAATATGATAAGTGCCATGGATTTGCCAAATGTGCTGGACTTATTTACCCTTCCAGCTGCACTCTGTTTTCTGTCCCAACAGAGCTGACACACACAGACCACAGCAGTGGCTCCTGTGCCTCTAGGCTTCTGGGTGGGTTTGGCCATGGTTTTTCTTGCAGAAATCTGAGGATGCTCAGGTAGTCAGTGGGGCTACCTTGGTATTGAAAGGTCATCATTTCTCCCAAACGTCCACCCCTCTCGGAGTTGCCACTTCCTGTACCCTTCCCTCCTGGCCAAGGATAATGTCAGTTCTGCTGCTAGCCTGGAGTTGCCAAGGCTACTGTGCTTCCTCTGTGGGTTCATTCTATTCACACTTTTGTACAACATCTCCCCAAAAGGATCTTAATTTAAGAGCCATCTGTTTCCTGTTGGAACTAAGACCAATAAGCCAAGGAGCAGGAACGTGAACTCTGACCTCTTTGTCAGATCCTTGCACCAAACATTAGAAAGGAGCCCACTGCCTTTGCAGAGCATGACCTGAGATAAATAAAATCCAGTTCTAGTGGCTGTCTATGCAGGCTACCACACAAGACAAATTTATCTTTTTTGGTAAGCCTTTAAACCAATGTCTGCAGATTAGCTGGAAGTTTTTGATTAGGCCCAAATGTGTTTATTATACTTTTCCAACTTATTCCAGAGACCCCTTGGGGCTTAAATTGCGTGGCTTTTCTTTCCATACAGATAAAATTTTAACATGAAGGGTCTTTCTTAGGTCTTAGTTTTCCAACTGCCCAAAAGGTCTGTGACCTCTCTTCTTAGCAAGACAATGACTGGAAAAGGAGGCCAGGGTGGATGAAGTTTACCTGCGGTTATCTCACCACACTTCGGACTCCTTTTAAGTGACTGCCTAGATCACTTCATTATTCTGGACCCCTTCTCAGAATAATGTGTTCATGTACAGAAAATGAAATGCATGGGATACAGAGATCAATTCCATTGAAATATAAACTGTTAAAACATTAATTTGTGATGTTGTAATATATGTGTGCACTTAATAGCTAGATCTAGGGTCTAGATCTTGAGGCTGTGTCATTGAAGTGGTATACATAATATATTAACACCTACAGCAACTGTAAAGTGAGATGAAAATGCCTGGTTTCTATTATTGACAAAGTCACAGTCACTGTAACTGACTTGTCTGTGCTTACTATTGAAGCAAATACTAAACTTCAGTTGTAGTCTAATGGAAATGTATTTTTCCCCATGCAGGTTCACTTATCTGAATTCTATCCTTAAATTCTTTAAAGATCTGTAGACTCTGGGTTAAGAACCCCTGACCTAACAAAATCAGACCCACCAATGTTTCAAACACGACTATTAAATCATATTCAAATGCTAATGGTACTTAATTTAGCATTTAGTATTATTCATATCTCATTTCAATCTCATTAGCATAGATTAGCAAGTTATACATGTTGGGTAAGGTTTTGTTTAAGATAGATTATATCCTACACCTAAATAAAATTTTGTAGCAATTTTTATTTGAAAGGCACAGAGAGTGAGATAGAGACACATGACAGAGAAATAAGAGATCTTCCACCTACTGGTTCATTTCCCATATGCTTTCTGTAACCAGTGACTGAGCCAGGCAGAAGCCAGTAGCCAGGAACAAAATCTGTTTCTCCCATGTGGGTGGCAAGGACCTAAGTACTTGAGCCATCACCTCCTGCCTCCCAGGATACATATTAATAGGAAGCTAGAAATTGGGAGTAGAACCAGAACATTAGCCCAGGTACTTTTAAATGGAATGTGGGCATCGCAAACTTAACCACTGCACCAAACACCCACCCCCTTTAAGCAACTTTTTAAATGGGAGGCGAGCAGAATCTTCCCATATTGAGATTATCTGCTAGTCATTCAACAAACACTTGTGGAATCATATGTGTCAAGCATTGTGTAATCAACTCTAGGAGCTAGTTTATAAGAGACAAGTATTTATGCAAACAGTTACGACACAGTGTTGGATGAAATCCAGAGTATCTGTGACATTCTTAGAACATCCCATAAATGAGTGCCCAGCCTGGTCTGGGAAGGTCAAGAAAAGCACCCCTGTCGCTGTTGAAGTGTCGTGAACAAGATCTTGAAAGATAAATTGGTGTTGGCCAGGTAAATAGAGCCAGTACAGCAAAGTAAGACCTGACAGAGCCAGCGTGGCATGTTACTGGAGCTGAAGATAGTTGAGACATGGCGAGAAAAGACCTGAATCTAGAGAAGGATTCTAGGCGGATCCTTGTTTGCCTAGAATCTCTTCCTTTGAGAAACTCCTTCCCTTTGAGTAGTAGTTTTGTTTATTAGCTTTATTTAAGGTATACAAACTTCAGACATTTCATATATACAAATGGATTCTTCCCACTCTACCATCCCTCCCACCCACATTTCCACCCTTCCCCCTCCTGTCTCTCCTATTCCTATTCTTAATTTTTACAAAAATCTATTTTTGATTTCCTTTATTCTCATAAGATTAACCCTACTTAGTAAGTAGAGTTCAACAAATAGTATGAGGGGAAGAAAAAACAGTGTTCCTCAACAGTAGAGACAAGGGCTGTAAACAATCATAATATTCATTCTAGAGTGACCAGTCTCAAGGAAGCATACCTCATCCATGCCAAGCCAGTCAAAGTCCTGAAGATGCCTTGGTTGTATCGCCTCCACGTGGACAGAGCCTGTCTAGAAAAACCAACATGAAAAAAGCAGATCAGGAAGAAATGGATGAGAAAGACAAGGGAGCTTTGAGGTCTTCTTTGAGCTCCTACATCTAGCCCTGCTTAAAGCCACCCCACCCCAGGCTTTTCAGTTGTATGAGGCAGCAAATTTCTCATTTTTGCTTAAGATACCTTGCATGAGATTCCTGTCATGTGGAACTGAAGCATGGCTAACACACACAACAGTAAGTGAACAATGACACTGAAATACCGTTGGGGGCTGTTGACTTAAGGCAGGAGAGTGACACAATCAGATTTGCAACTCAGACTACACTAACTCCTTGGAAAGGCTGATGAGGGACAAGGAGAATGATGTGTCTGTTGGAATGATTATGAACTTCTCTATGTATTTCTAGTAGACTTAGATGTCTACATTCTTTTTGTTTGTTTTTGTTTTTAACTTTTATTTAATAAATATAAATTTCCAAAGTACAGCTTTTGTATTATTATTATTTTTTTTTGACAGGCAGAGTGGACAGTGAGAGAGAGAGAGAGAGAGAAAGGCCTTCCTTTTCTGCTGGTTCACCCTCCAATGGCCACCGCGGCGGCGTGGCAGCAGCTGTGGCCGGCACGTTGCAGCCGCAACTGATCCGAAGGCAGGAGCCAGGTGCTTCTCCTGGTCTCCCATGGGGTGCAGGGCCCAAGCACTTGGGCCGTCCTCCACTCCACTCCCTGGCCATAGCAGAGGGCTGGCCTGGAAGAGAGGCAACCGGGACAGAATCTGGCGCCCCAACCGGTACTAGAACCCGGTGTGCCGGCGCCGCAAGGCGGAGGATTAGCCTTATTGAGCCTTGGCGCTGGCCCAGCTTTTGTATTACAGTGGCTTCCCCCCCCCCCCACAACTTCCCTCCCACCCGCAACCCTCCCCTCTCCTACTCCCTCTCTAATTGCATTCACATCAAGATTCATTTTCTTCTCTTTCTTTCTTTCTTTTTTTTTTTTTTTTTTTTTTTTGACAGAGTGGACAGTGAGAGAGACAGAGACAAAGAGAAAGGTCTTTCTTTGCCGTTGGTTCACCCTTCAATGGCCACCGCAGCCGGCGCGCTGTGGCTGGCGCACCGCGCTGATCCGAAGGCAAGAGCCAGGTGCTTCTCCTAGTCTCCCATGGGGTGCAGGGCCCAAGCACTTGAGCCATCCTCCATTACACTCCCGGGCCACAGCAGAGAGCTGGCCTGGAAGAGGGGCAACCAGGACAAAATCCGGCGCCCCAATCAGGACTAGAACCCGGTGTGCCGGCGCTGTTAGGCGGAGGATTAGCCTAGTGAGCCGCGGCGCCAGCCATGATTCATTTTCAATTATCTTTATATACACAAGATCATTTTAGTATATATTAAGTAAAGATTTCAACAGTTTCACCCACACAGAAACACAGTGTAAAGTACTGTTTTAGTACTAGTTATACCGTTAATTCATGTAGTACAACACATTAAGGACAGAGATCCTACATGAGGAGTAAGTGCACTGTGACTTCTGTTGTTGACTTAACAATTGACAATCTTGTTTATGGCGTCAGTAATCACCCTAGGTTCTTATCATGAGTTGCCAAGGCTATGGAAGCCTTTTGAGTTCACGAGCTCCGATCTTATTTAGACAAGGTAATAGTCAAAGTGGAAGTTCTCTCCTCCTTTCAGAGAAAGGTCCCCCTTCTTTGATGGCCTGTTCTTTCTACTGGGATCTCACTTGCAGAGATCTTTCATTTAGGTTTTTTTTTGTTTGTTGTTTTTTTTTTTTTTTTTTTTTTTTGCCAGAGTGTCTTGGCTTTCGATGCCTAAAATACTCTTATGGGCTCTCAGCCAGATCCAAATGCCTAAAGGGCTGATTCTGAGGCCAGAGTGCTGTTTAGGACATCTGCCATTCTATGAGTCTGCTGTGTATCCCGTTTCCCATGTTGGATCATTCTCTCCTTTTTAATTCTATCAGTTAGTATTAGCAGACACTAGTCTTGTTTATGTGATCCCTTTGACTCTTAGACCTATCAGTATGATCAGTTGTGAACTGAAACTGATCACTTTGACTAGTAACATGGCATTGGTACATGCCACCTTGATGGGATTGACTTGGAATCCCCTGGCATGTTCCTAACTCTACCATTTGGGGCAAGTCCAATTGAGCATGTCCCAAATTGTATAGATATCTACATTCTAATCACAACTCCCTCTTGTGGTTCTTTAAATATTTCTTACAGAAAAAAAAATACTTAGAAGCAATAAGAAACAGAAAATTTAACATACAAAGACAACTA